CTAACACCAGGAAGAGTGACAGGTCCACTAACACCAGGAGGAGTGACAGGTCCATTAACACCAGGAAGAGTGACAGGTCCATTAACACCAGGAAGAGTGACAGGTCCATTAACACCAGGAAGAGGGACAGGTCCACTAACACCAGGAGGAGTGACAGGTCCATTAACACCAGGAAGAGGGACAGGTCCACTAACACCAGGAAGAGTGACAGGTCCATTAACACCAGGAGGAGTGACAGGTCCACTAACACCAGGAGGAGTGACAGGTCCATTAACACCAGGAAGAGGGACAGGTCCACTAACACCAGGAAGAGTGACAGGTCCACTAACACCAGGAAGAGTGACAGGTCCAATAACACCAGGAAGAGGGACAGGTCCACTAACACCAGGATGAGTGACAGGTCCACCAACACCAGGAGGAGTGACAGGTCCAACACCAGGAAGAGTGACAGGTCCATTAACACCAGGAAGAGTGACAGGTCCATTAACACCAGGAAGAGGGACAGGTCCACTAACACCAGGAAGAGTGACAGGTCCACTAACACCAGGAAGAGTGACAGGTCCATTAACACCAGGAAGAGGGACAGGTCCACTAACACCAGGAAGAGTGACAGGTCCAACAACACCAGGAAGAGTGACAGGTCCACTAACACCAGGAAGAGTGACAGGTCCACTAACACCAGGAAGAGTGACAGGTCCATTAACACCAGGAAGGGCGACAGGTCCAACAACACCAGGAAGAGTGACAGGTCCACTAACACCAGGAAGAGTGACAGGTCCACTAACACCAGGAGGAGTGACAGGTCCATTAACACCAGGAAGGGCGACAGTTCCTGTAACTCTCTGAATAGGGGGAGATCCACAGGGCCTCTTCTGCCCTTCCTCAGAGCTCATGTCTCCTCTGATCCCAGCACCCCTTGAAGGAGGGGATTTGGCATGAGAAGGGCAGGAAATGGGCACAGAGCTCGGGGTGACAGCCCGAGCACCCCCGGTGCCCTTCTGTCAGGATGTTCAGCCATGTGTGCGAGCGAGTGGTTGGTACAGACGCGGGAAGACGGACTGCCAGCCTCAGGAATGTTTCATTTCAAAGGTTACAGAAGCCTTTTGTGGGCACTGAAATCCGTGCGCAAGCTTATGAGTTTATAGCACTTTCATGGTGGGAACAGTTCACCTGCTCAGGGGAATCGCTCACGAGCACCTGCCGAAATGTGACCTTTCACAGCAGGTGATTTTAATACCCGATTAGGAGCGCGGGCAGTGTGGCCATGAGGTAAGAAAAGCACAGGGCGAATACCAGTTTGGATGAGAGGTTATGATCAGGGGTGTCTGTTAACTATTACAATGGCCAGGGCTGCGAGCAGAGCCAGGTCCGGGGGGGTCGGGGCGCACAGGGGGACGCTGAGGAGAACCAGCCTGCTCTAAACCAGCGTGCAGGGCAGCCCACGTTCTGTCAGGTTCCCCTAAAGCCTGTCCCCCTTCGGCTTTCATTTAGACACTAGAGGATCGATGCACGAAATTCGTGCAAGAGTAGGCCTTACTTCCCCAGCTGCCGGCACCAGCTTCCTTCTGGCACCAGGGACCCAGCTTTGCCCGGAAGGTCGTCTGGTCTCATTAGCACATCACGCTTTCATTATTGTGGATTAGTTGCATTCGTGTCTACTGAGCTGTGTCACGCTTCTTCCTGCTTGTCCATTCACATCACTCCCAGGCCATCCGGTACACCTTTCCCCAGAGACCCGCACAGTGCCTCATCTTTCCACAGGTAGGATCCAGCCCATGGAATCTAACAAAACGGGCCTAGGATTAAAATCGGTTAACACACACACACGCACGCACACGCACACACGCACATGCACACGCACACATGCACGCACACACATACACATTATGTCAGTCCCTACACCTGTTGCTCTTGGTGAGCTCCGGTGAAACACCTTGAGGAGACACGGTGTGCACCCTGAAGGGGTGCGTAGGAAACCGCTATTGGCTGAGTGAGGGAGGGGCAGGCTAGGAATGACCCCTGGAACTGGACAAACCTTCTTGATCCAATAACCATTTGAGCATTGCGATTATGTGCACCTTGGAAACTAAGAACACAGCGAGACAGCCGGCATAGAAAGCCACACTTCAAAACGAGTCACCCCCGTCCATCGGGCGTCCAGACCCTGACCGTGGGTTAGGGGGTGAGCTTACCGTGACTGGCCCTCCAGACACTCAAGGGGGACACGGGTTTAGGGTGGGTGCCGAGTCCATACCAGAGACTCCCAGTGGAGAGTGAACGCTAGGTGGACGACATACAGAACCCAGCTTACCTTCTACCCACCCAGCAGCTTCCACCTCTATTCACCTGGTTATTCCTGAGGGTGGAGGGGAGTTGTTTCTTGCTGATAATCATGGAACTAAAGCGCCCATAATGCTCTTCTCACGGGTCGTCAGCGTCTCCTGTGCAAAGTAGCTATTTTGGGATTTAAAAACACCCGCTTCCCTGCAAGCCAGCGGCAGGCGGCAGGCACACAATGTGAAATGACGCAGGTAAACTCTGTGTAGTGTCCACCGTGCCCGCTGCACGAGCGTCCTCCCTTCATCCAGAACCAGAACCACATGCACAGACGCTGCAGAGCAGTGAGATGAGAAGAGAAGAGAAAATGCTGAATTTTAAACGCTCCTGGGAAGCCGCTCTGCCGTTAGGTCTCGTGCAGCCACGGGCCTGGGTGCCCGGGTCTCCCCGGCTGGGAGCACAGAGCAGGGAAACCGCGTTGCAGGCCCCAGAAGCCCGGCCCCGCCGAGGAGACCCTGACGGCTCGGGATCTGCTCGCAAACGGTTCGACGGCCACTGGCTTCACGGAAGTGCCACGGCCGGTGGACACGGCGGCAGCCCGGGGTCGGATCCAGAGTCCCCAGGGTCCCCCATGGACCCCAGACACTGAGCCCCAAACGCAAAACCTGTGCAAGCCTCTGCACCACCGGGCTCCGCTGCCCAGCGCCCAGCACCGGCTCCTGTGGCCACAGGCCCCTCAGACCCGAGGGCAGGTGCCCAGAGCACGACGAGCCGCTGGTCGCAGAGGAGGGGCCGCGAGGGCGGGACGCCTTCCTGGGGGCACCGTCACCCTCTGCCGGGGACACGGAGCCCTTTCCCCCATAGAAGGTGTGACCTCGCCAGGGACCCTCTTCTCAGCACAAGGCTGGTTCCGGAAAAGTTCTCTTTCCAATCTTACTATTTCCTGCTTATTTTTTTAATATATATATATGTGTGTTGATGTCAGAGAGAGGAAGGGAGATGGAGAGAAAGATCAATGATGAAAATCATGGACCGGCTGCCTCCTGCACGCCCCACACTGGGGATGGAGCCAGCAACCCGGGCCTGTGCCCTGACCGGGAATCGAACCGTGACCTCCTGGTTCATAGGTCGATGCTCAACCACGGAGCCATGTGGCCGGGCAATTAATGACACTTAAAAAAATAAAGTACAAATAGAAGAGCTTTAATAGCAAAACAGATGATCCCCCAAACAGAAACGAAGGCAAGGACATAGCAGGCGGGCAGCCGCGACACCCTCACCGTTCCCACCGTCAGGACGAGCAGCCTGAGCAAAGGTGGGGTCACACAGCCCCTGAGCCCCGCCGCCGAGATCGCCGGGACACACTCTGTGTGTGGAGGCGGCCAGTCGTCTACATAAAGGACAGAGCAGGCCCGGCCGGTCGGCTCCATGGACACAGTGTCGGCCTGTGGACCAGAGGGTCCGGGCTCGATGCCGGTCAAGGGCACCTGCCTCAGCTGCAGGCTCCTCCCCGGCCCGGGCCCTGGATGGGGCTCGTGCAGGAGGCGACCCATCGATTTGTTCCTCTCACAGCGATGTTTCTCTCTGTCTTTCCCTCTCTTACACTTTCTCCCTAAAAATCAACGGGAAATGTCCCGGGGGAGGATTCACAGCAACGAAATCAGAGCAGGCCTCTCTGGCCTCGGACATTTCTTGTTGAAACCTGGGAAGTTACAGGTTAAAAAGACAAAAACATATTTTGAAGAATGACTGGACCGCCTCTGAGCCCTTCAGGTCCCTGATGACACGGACTGAGTAGACTAAACAGCGAGTGAGTCGTGTAAACAGCGGCTTTGCGGGCGCCCAGGGCTCCCCGGGACCCGGTCTCTAGAATAAGCCTCTCGCCTCTGAGAGGCAGCACGTGGCCGCCGGGACGGGGTGGGGGGACGTCCTGCCCGGGGAGCATCCGGAGCCCCCCGTCCTCGCCTTCCCCTGACGAGAGGGACCGCGGACTCTGCGTGTGGGGGGGGGGGGGGGGGCGGGCAGCAGAAGCTACACCCGCTCCGACGCCGCCCCCAGGGAGTGGACAGGACCCCCCCAGGCGCCGGCCCCACCGTGAGGAAGGGGGCGCCCCACTCGCCCGCATGCCGCCTCCATCTCCGGGAAACTCCATCCTGAGCCACACCAACACAGCCCCCCGCCGTGTCTCTGACGGGAGGACAAGGACGAAGCAGGGCCCGCCGTGGCGGGTCTCACGTCCCAGAATAGTCCAGGGGGCTGGCAGGCTGACCGCCACGGACGGTCCACGCCCTGAGCGCGGGTCCCTGAGGGGCAGGCGCAGAGCGGGCTCCGGAGCTAAAGTGCACGCGTGGCTTCGAGGCGTGTTTGTGGGTCTCCCCGGGCTCACCAGCCCCGAGCTCGCTCCCGGCAGCTGCGGCAGGTGAGGGGCCTGAGGCCGGGCCGGACACGACCCCCCTGCTCCTCGCAGGACATCTGGGACCCCACCGCCCACTGCCCGCCCCGCTGTCCACCGCCCACACCCCGCCTCCTCCTCCACGGAAATGACTGCGCCCAGCCCCACGGAGGGGACACCAGGGCACCCTGTCCCTCACGACCCGTCCACTCCTGCTGACGCCTCCTGCCCGCCCCCCTCCCCGAGGCCGACCCCGTCCCCGTCCCAGGCGGGGACATCAGGCCTGGTCGGCGAGGTCCTGAGGATAAGGAAGTCTACGGACACGAGTGAGGCGAGTGATGCGGGTTTATTGAAAGGCACCAAGCGAGACAAGCTCCTTCGCTCAGAAGCAAGAAATCAGCAGCCGGGAGACGCAGCAGCGGAGCCGGGACACGTCCAGGAGGCACAGGCCGTCAGCGAGGGCAGGACGGGGGCCGGGCAGCAGCGAGGGGGCCGGGCGGCGGGCAGGTCGCAGGGTCTTGCTCGCTCACCGACGCCCGCGGCTCAGCAGGTCCTCCGGCAGCTGGACACGCAGGGCCGCTTGTAGGTCCTGGGGGCGCCGCCCGGCTGGCACACGGCGGAGCCGCCCGCGGGCTTGCAGCTGCTGGACACGAAGGTGAGCGGCCGGCTGCAGGCGGTGGAGCAGGGGCTGGCCACGCGGGCGGGCTGTCGCGAGCAGGCCACCCGCCCAGGGCTGGCGACGCGAGACGCCGGGGGACAGGCCGGGGGCTCGCCGCTGGGCTCCTGGGCGCAGTGGTCCAGCAGCCAGGAGCCCGTCTGGAAGGAGCTGGGCAGGCAGATGCCGCTCAGGTAGTCGACGTCGTGCGTGGAGCCCGAGGCCCCCGGGACCCCCGGGACGGGGCAGGCGCCCGCCAGGGGCCTGGCCGAGCCGGTCCTCGGGGAGCAGTGGTAGGACATGGTGCGGGCGGAGCGGAGAGGCGAGCGGAGAGGCGAGAGAAGAGGCGAGCCACCTGCTGAGGCTGCTCCAGCTGTGCGTGTCCCCGGGGCCCGGCTGCTTTTATGCGTCCCTGCCGGTGGGCGGGGCCCACCTGCTCCCCCGGCGGCTGAGCCCCGACCTGCCGGCCTCAGAACATCCTGGGAACCTCGGGGTTGACTGCCTCCTGAGTGGCTGCGTCCTCGTAAAGCGAGTTTAGTGGCTGCGCCGCAGCCTCTGTTCTGTGCTCAGACCCGGGATGCGAAGGCGGGTTGGCGGCTTCAAAGGCATCGGCCCTCGGCCCACACCCCGCCCTCCCTCCGCGTGGGCACGAGCGCGTCCACCCAGCAGCAGCACCGCCAGCACCCCATCCACGTCCACTCTCTCCCCCGACCAGCACCGATGACCCTCCCTGCCCACCCCGCCTCCCGGGTGCGCCACTGGCTTTGATGATGTTTCCCGCACTTCATCGGCCGCGCTCCCCGCTAACGGGCGTCCCACGGAGGCAAAGGCCACGGTGACATCACCTGTGCGGGGAGAGGGCACGGGCTTGGAGCAGAGCTGGCTCGGGAGACTCGCCGAGGGGCGGCCGGTGCCGCAGGAGACCGAGGGCCGCGGGCGCACCTTCCCGTCCAGGCGCCGGGGCCGCGGGAGCCGCGGGAGCTAACGAAGGACGGTGTTTGCGGCCACGTCCCTTCTCAGTGAAGCGGACGAGCTTGACTCCTGAAAATCGTCACCGAGTGGCAACGGGTACGAGTGACTCATCGGACGCGGATCCGCATTTTGTCGTGTTCCTTCGAGGGGAACAGCCTCTCTCTCCAGATATGCCCCTCGAGGCGGAGATACTTATTTTCACACAAACACCTGCAGGTGGATGTGTTTCACCCGCCAGGTGTGGCTCAGTGGACAGAGCGTCGGCCTGCACACTGAAGGGTCCCGGGTTCGATTCTGACCAAGGGCACAGGCCCGGGTTGTGGGCTCGGTCCCCAGTATGGGGCGTGCAGGAGGCGGCCGATCCATGATTCTCTCTCATCACTGATGTTTCTATCTCTCTCTCTCTCCCCTCCCTTCCTCTCTGACATCAATAAAAATGTATTTTTAAAAACAAGATGTGTTTCTGTCATGGACACTCCCAGGGCTCTTCAAGGTCACGCCTCCACCAGGGGTCAGGGGTCGGGGAGGCAGACACGGGCCTTGGTAATGAGGGGCTGTGAGCAGTGAGCTGTGACATGTAACCCGCGTCCCTTCTGGGGAAACAGATGAGATGACGTCTCCGGGACGTCACCCGCTGCAGCCCCGCCAGCTCCGGACGCCCCACACGAGGCCTTGCCCACGGCACACACGCATCTCAGCCAGGAACCGCGTCCGTCACCGCGGCGAGTGGCAGTCGCCGTCATTTCCACATCACAACACGGCGAGGCCCGCTCTCTCTCCAGCTGGCTCTCGGGCGGGCGAGGGGCGTCGTGGGGTCCATGCGTCCGAGGGCCCTGGGGGACGCATGTGGGGCAGGCGCACGGCACCCAGGGCTGTGAGAACTCGTCAGAGGTCCCCACGCGACGCCTCACCCGTCGCTGCTCGCCCCGAAGCCGCTGCGGAGCCCGGGCCTGTAATCGGAGGCTAATGACAGGCCCCGGAGGCCGCCGGGACCGTGTCCTGGTTCCCAGGGACCAGCCGTCTCTCCCGCGGGACCCAGGTGCCCTCGGGCGTCGGGTCACGGGCGATGACGACGGCCGCGATGCGGTGACGAGGCTCCCGCGTGGGTGAGGGCGGTGTTTGCAGGGCAGGGCCGGCCACGGGCGGGCTCCTTCCTAAGTGGCCGCGGCGCCTGCAGGCTCCTTCCAGCCACAGAGTCATGGCTGCTGTGGGAGGGGCTTCGCCTCATAAAGGAATCAGGCCCACGCGGACGCAGGCAGCGGTGAGGTCACAGGGGGCGTCTTCCCGCCCGTGATCCCTTCTGGTCCCTCGCTCTGTCTTCACTCCCCTTTCCCACTGAGTGTCCAAAATCGCAAAGGACGGGACCCTGGGTGGACCTTCCGGCAGCTTCCGGAGCACACGGCCGTCTCCCAGGCATGGACCCGGCGACCCCATGGCGCCACGCTCCCTGCGCCCGCCAGGCTGTCCTGTCACAGGAAGCAGCGAAGTTCACGGAGGTCGAAGGGCTCACCAAGGTCAAATGCAACACGATCCTTTCCCCCCTTTTTACTGAATTTATTGGGGTGACACTGGTTAACACACGTACCCAGGTTTCAGGGGCACAGTCCCACACACCTCGTCTGTGCCCTGCACTTGAGTGTTCCCCATCCAAGTCCAGTTCCCTCCATCACCGCTCACCCCCCTTCACCCTCCCCCCCACCCCCCTCCTCGGCCCAGCATCACCACCTGTTGTCCGTGTCCATGAGTTTTTCTCTTTTTTTCTCAACCCTCCACCTCCATCCCCCAACAGCCACTATGGAAAGCAGCACGGAGTTACCTCAGATCATTAAAAACAGCACTGCCCTTATTTTTCATCCTCCCCACCCACCCCCTGCCTTTTCTACTTTGCAGTTTCAATATCTTCCTCTCTAGTTACTTGCATGATGTATCAGAAGCTGCCAAAAATTACCCTGCGAGGAGTCCTGCACCCTCCCATCTACGATAATAAAAGCCTAATATGCTAATTAGACCATCCGTCCTTCCAGAGGTCCTTCCAGACAACCTTCTGGACAAAGTTGGGGCTGCAAGGGACACCTGAGTCCCGGGTGCCTGCCAGAGGCCGGGGGAAGCCCGGGTCCCGGGTGCCAGAGGGAAGCCGGTGCCGGCAGCCGGGGGAAGGAAGGCCTACTCTTGCACGAAATTCGTGCATCAGGCCTCTAGTTTATATATAAATCTAAATGCTGAATGCAAAGGTCAATTCACCCAAAAAATCGTCTGCCATCATGACCTGCCAGGAAGAAATAGCCTGCCGTTTCGGAGTCATTTAAGCGAAGACACAACGTAAGTCATTCATCAGAACAAGGGCCGCTCCTTGCAAAACAGCTTTCCCACGGCCTCCAAGCCTCTCGCCCCCTGTTAACCCCTCGCCCTCCTGCCGGCGTCCGATTCCCACGCACGTCACGGGTTCAGGCGCGTCCCGGCCTTCCCACTGTTCCCACTGACTCACGGCCGGAGCTCGGCTGCTCGTTAAACTCCTGGCCTGTTGGGCCCCGTAAAACAGACCGACTCCCAGGCGGCTGTGAGCCCTGAGCCCCGGTTCGCGGGAGCCTCTGTGAGTCACACATGAAAGGCAGGTTCCCTCCCACTCGCGCTTCCTGACAACAGGCAAGTCGCACAAGGTGCCAGGGGGTGTTCAAAGCTACAGAGGCCCTTCTAGGAACGGGGGCGCCGCTCCAGGCAGGAGCAGGGCAGGCGGGGAGCCGGCCGGGAGCCAGCGCTGGGGCCTGCTGGTCTCAGGCGCCCCAGCCTCAGGCACCCCTTAAACTTCCTGAAATCGGAGCACTGATTCCCACGCCCCACGGGTAAGTAGGTTAAGGGTGAGCCTGTTGGGTCCGTGCTTAGACTAGAGGACACTGAAACGAAAAAACTAAGTCCTGAGCCATACGGAGCGGCGCTGGGGCATCCATGCTGCCCTGTAAGTCCCCGCACGCCCCCGGGGCCGGCTGTGGGCGACGTCCGTCCGCGCGGCCTGTGCAGGGACGGGTCTGCCGCCCGCTGACGGTCTGGGGGCTGCACAGCGCTCACCTCACCTGTAAGCGACCACCGTCCAGAGTCGTTTTCTCTGCCGTCGGCGGCGGGTTCCGCGTTAAAAGCCCCCGGGCGCTTGGCACCGAAGACACCACGGCAACAGCGAACGCGACCAACATTCGCCCCCTCCCCACGACGAGGGCTTCCCGCAGGGCCGCGCCCGCGGTGCGTGTCCGTGTCGCGCAGTAACAGGCCTCACGGGACAAGGGGTCAGCAACCAGCGAAGCATCAAAACACGAGGGGGAGCAGTAAAGCAGCCGCCATCGTTATAAAAACCAAGAAAACCTGTACAGCAGGGAGGACCGCGGCGGAGGGGCCCAAGGGCCTCCTGGAGAAATGCGTTCTCGCCAGCCCGGCCAGACGCCGTGGCCGGAGACCCCGTGGCCCCCGTGGTTCGGGTCATTCAGGGAAGGCAAGCCCAGCCGTGGTCTGTGTCAAGTCTCCCCGCTCCCGGTGGCGGTGACAGGCGGAAGCTGGGCTGTGGGCGTCCCAGCGACGGGCCCTGCGCTGAGCGTCCACCCCCCGAGCCTCGGTCCTCACGGGTGAACGGGATACGTAGTGACAGGAGCCGCCACACGGTCTCTCTCTGCTTCGGTCCACGCCCGCGAGACCCTCTCACCCCCTCGGACCTCCCGCTGCTGCTGGGGCGTCAGGCAGGGCAGGACGGTGCCGGGGGGGACCCCGCTCGCGTGAGGGATCCCTTCTGCTCCAGGCGGGCCTTCCACCAGCTCCGAGGTCTCCTACCACCGCGGCTTCGCTGCCACTGACCCGCGTCCACGCACGGGGCCTGAGGGGACGGTCGGCCTTCCCTGGCCCCGTGGCCGCGGGCACCCCCTCCCCCCGTGAGTCTCCAGGGAACTTCCTGAGGTCCCGGCGCCATCTCCTCTTTGCCTGGCTTCACGTTGGGCGAATCTGCATTTGATTATAAAGAACACGATTCTCTGCCCCGGCTTTTCAGAGTCTCCGTTCCCTAGTTGTTGGGGTGACGTCTGCTTTCTGACATCCTCACCCATTTCCTCAGCTACTTCTAAGGGGACTCGAGATGGTGCAAACCAGCACAGGCCGCGGCGTCCGCAGGCCGAGATACACACACGTTTAAGCCAAGAAGAGCCGGACACTCGCACTGCCCAGCGGGTTGGGGCGAAGGAGACGCGTGGGCAAGGTGGGGGACCCGCTCCCCTTGCTGAGCCCCCAGTCCCCCCTCCCGCCCGATGAGCTCCTCATTCCGCCCCTGTAGCTCCATTTCCAGGCGAGTCCCCCCCGACACTCCCAGCCTCGCAGGCCCAGGGAGAGAGCGGGGGCGATGAAGCTTCCGGAACCTCGTGGACTGAGACGACCCGTGAGCCGTCAGCCACGCAGCATCCGGCGGGTTATGTCCAGCTTCGCTCGCCCTCCTCCCTGATACGGGACGCAGATGAGCACCCGGGCTCCATCCTGCTGCCCAGATGGGAAACGAGGTGGCGCTCTGTGACCAAGTCAGAGCCACGTAGAGATCCCCGCTCCTCTGGGAAAACCTCCGGACGGAGTGCCCGTCGGAGTCGGAACATGCAGTGTGGGGGCCGAGCTCCTGAGCCCCGAGCAGGCGGCAGTGGCTGCCCAGCTGCTGGAAGG